AAGATTATAGTATCTTATGATGAGATTTTCTGTTCTGTACAAAATTTTGAACGGTGATCAATAACGACTTATATAAAATACCATTAATACCAATATCAATTTATTCTCTTTATCTCAGTCTGTTTAGGAATTCAGGATGGTTATTGGGGAATAAAGTCAATTAACAGTAGGTTACAAAACACATAACCACACATATAGCATAATCTCAAGATTTCATGTAGAAGATTAGCTTTATTCAATGTGTGGTCCTTGCACGTGGGATCATGGTTAGTTTAATAAACAGAATGAGTAGGATTCATGATTTAGAATAATATACAATGCGGCATAAAGACCGTCTTCATTCCTATAACCTCAGAAAATTAATTGTTACACAACGATCCAGGATGTTATTCATTACACACAAAAAATAGTTCCTGAAACTAACAAAAAAATAACTGAAAGGAACGAAAATTTGTTTACCTCTTTATATATCATAGACATAGGAATCTAGTAAATTCATTCACTATTCTTCGTTTTGGATCGTGTTTCCTAATTCCTCATCAACTGTTACAGTGGAGATAAATTCAGAACTATATACATTGAAATGAAATTGGCTCATATGGTTTCGAAACTGTGAAATATATTCACTTTTGTTTTTCGTAAATCTAGCATTTCCTGTTTCATGAAATTACGATCCTGTGCTGTGAACACTGGCAAATAATTCAACATCCTTTCATATATACCTACACCAGGTGTCCCAGATCTTTTCATACATCCAATATCTCAGTTAAGCTGCTTGGAAAACAAAAACTTTTGTCAAACCCAAATGACTTTGAAGCCATTGTGTCAAAGTCAACTTCTGTCAAACTGTCCCTGAAAAACCACCACCAACTTCATTTTTATAAGTAACAGCCTATACATTTTTTTGTTGATTAGTGAAATGCAATCAATTCTAACTTCAACGATGTATCACATGCACTCGATATTTTGATATACGTAATATTTCCAATATAACCTACAAAACTGGAAAGAAACAGTAACAGGTGTAGATCATTTCGTTGTGTTCGTGCACCCGTCATTTGGTCAGTTTGTAGGTACAGTCGTCTTCAGAAAACATGTCGTGGTTGGACGGTGTAAGCGCTGTTATTGCAGCAGTGATTTAGAGAGCACACACTGCACATGTACGACATGTTCACTGAAGACGAACTAAGGCAATATGATTTTTATGTTCACTTCAAATGAGTATTCTGTCAATTGGACGTCAGTCAAATTATCAAGTGTGATACATCGTTGAAATTAGATCGAATGCAATTCACATATCAACAAAAAATGAATAGGGTGTAACTTGAAAAATGAGGTAGGGGTGGTTTTTCTGGGGAAGTTTGACAGAAGTTGAGTTCGACAGTTTCGACACAATGGCTTCAAAGATCTGGGACACCCGGTGACCCGGTATATACCAAATACAAAGTTTTTTGAAGTTTCACGCACCAATATCAGAATATTGGTGGACGATGGTATTAACTTGGCAAATATTCAGTTCACCTTCTCTCTGCAACATAGTAGGTAGCTAAAATGAGTTACAGGGGCCGTAGATCGGTATCCTATCCTACCGACTAAAACCAGGCACGTAGGTAGTTTTTTTTTTCCAAGGGGTACTCAGTAGCGGAAATAGGATTATAATTTGGGGTATTTCGTATTTGGGGCCAGTTTCGGTGTACAATGAATTGTTCTTGTTCGAAAATTGTTCTTATCCATCATTCGGTTGCCCCCTCACGAGCAACCCTCAAATGTCTTCAAGAGACTTGTGCGATCAAGGAATGACGGGGGTCTTACCTTTCAACGTGTGATCATAAACACTTTCTGAGGCCATCAGAAATATTTCTGCGGTCGTAGTGGGAATCGAACCAACCCACCGGCAATCCAAAGTGGATAGAATATTTACGCTTCAACCACGAGGCTACGCTGGCCAACACAAAATTGTGATTTATTAGTTTCAACTTCTGATAAAGCTGTTGCTTTATCTAAAAATATACACAATTTACAAAATAACAATTATCAGTCGACTAAATAAACGAATCAAGATAAATATTGTCAATGCAACATAACAAACACATTTTATTCACGTATTATATGAACTAGATAAAAATATATAAAATAATCTCTCAATTTCACCCTTAGATAATATAAATTCAAATTCAAAAGTCAAAACTGTTGATTAAATCTAATCAACAAAATATTAGGTACCTATAGGTGATTATAAAACGAAGTCAAGTTTTCTTATATATTGCTATGAAAAGCTATATCAATAACATCATCTACATCGATTTCGATATTTCTATGAATATATAAGTTAATATGAGTAGCCTTTCCTGGCCCATTGTAGACCTCAACCATGATTCCAGTCTCTTATATATGAAGTGTTAAAAATGATCTCTCAGCACTTTACACAATCAGAGACATAAAAGAAATTATCTGCAGGAGTGTATAAATAGTGGGAATATTTCGATACTGCAATGCTGTAGTATGTAAGGTTGTTTCTGGTAAATTATTAGTTTTATTTTTGGTTTCTTCCCATTCATTTTTCCAAAGATCCATTTCCGATTGCAAGAAATCTGACAAAAATGTTGGGAAATAATTTCAATATTTACTAACATATTCACAAACTTGCTCTACTATAGAATCTTCAAATCATTATCGCACTGGTGTAAAACATCAACAGGTATCAAGCTGTTGATATCTAAAATTTTGAGAAGTTCTGACTGGAAACGAAACTCGAGGTCTTGGGATATATTTTTCAAAAGAGGTATGAAAACCAACACTCTATAATATTCTTTGTGGTGTTTTGTTTCAGTGTTTACTATTTTACTATTTCTTGTGCTTCCAGGGGGGTAGTGTCCCCCATTACCACCCCTTTATCTACGCTGGTGAACAGAACCATCACGTGTGCGACACATGTGCTAAAAATGAACTTGCCACGGCATCACGGCTAGGGCCCAGACTTATTGGAAGCTTCATGGTATTTCCGTTACTTCTTGTATTTTTACCTCATCTTTTCGTCACAGGAATTGTCTTTTATTTGGTCATCTGGACGAATCATGTCCCATTCCGGCCATGCACTGTATTGTCAGCACATCTGAAGTTTGACTTTCGAGGGAAGACAATTGTCTCAGATATTTCTAGAGTGTTCATAACTTGTCACAGTGCTGCCAACTCAGCCTTTTTATGGCTAGTTCTAGCTATTTATCAGCTAATCTAGCTACTGAAAACTGCGACTAACCATTTTGCCGTTTTCAGGCACTTCTGTATTTCTATGGATTTTGATCTCCATGCTTTGTGCGATTTCAACAAATTGACGTTGATTTCAACACATCGCGTCATACGTCAATTTCACTACTACGTCAATTTCACTATTACGTCAATTTCACTACTACTAGAGTTCTAGATCTAAGCTCTAGACTCAAATTTTTAATGTCAGATTCGTAGTCCATCATGGTCAGATTTCTTGTTTTTGCTGGAAAAATGGCAAGAAATGGCTAGATTTTTCGAAAAATAAGCTAAACATTTAGTTAATTCAGTACTATTCGAACAACCATCTAGCCGTTTTTAAAATTATACGAGAAGCCATTCCCCTCCCTCTCTTTTTTCTTTGTTCTCTGTACGAGTAAATTCAGAACACATGCATATGCACCATAATTTATAATGTTCTCAATTTGTGAATAGTATATTGTTTAACGAGCACGGAATGTTAGTAATTTCCCACGAGAATGAAGATGCTTCAAATCATACGAGTGGGAAATCAGTTTTCCCTGTACACTGTACACTATACTTTTTCTACGGCTGTAACAGTTAACAGAGCTGTCATGAATTGAAATTTGACATTTCATGGGAGATGACATTTGGTGAGATGATAACACAATGAAGTCATTGTGATATCAGATACGGAAATGAAATTCATGATGAGATACAAAGTAACTCATTGATTTGAAACAATTTTGTGTTATAGTCGTAGAAAACAATATTTTCGATACCAATTCAACGCCTTGCAATAATAATTTTCTAATTCCTACAATACAATAAACACAAATGACATCATCATCCATCTCCGAAATGCTATGAATTCGATTCTTATTCAAAATGTGACTCATTTGACAGGAATCAACAACTTTCAATGTCAAGATCAACTATTCAGAAAGTAACGATTTTGGGTCAAATAAACATTATTTTTGGAAAATATGATATGATGAGATATTTTTCCTCCCTTGATGGTGAAGCTTCTCTAAGATTTTCATAACACTGATTCTTAAAACTATCTCTCTTGAATACAATTCATGAAACACCCAAAATGACATACTTTTTTGTAATCGATATTTACCATTTATTTATTTGCCAAATGATGAACCTTTTCATCTCATATTTCTTGGTAGTAAATTATTTAGAGCTTGGACCGTTGAGGGTAATCTGGCAATGCTATAGTCATATTCATGAATAATTCTTTAACGTAATCAATACTCAAGACCCTGATGACCATAATACAAACTATTCCACAGATCAAGATACGAACTGAATTATGTAATTTGGATAGTGCTCCAGACAAATTTGAATTTATTTCCCTAACGCGGTGTTTTAGAAATTTCTCTAGTGCTAATCGAATATACTGCGATGTTGAGCAATGATCAAAAAGTATAAATAGAGATCGTGAATTAGGTTTTTTTAAATAGTTCGAACCAACTTTATTGCAAATCTATCAAGTATCTAATTTTAGAGAGATGTATTATTGTGATCCAATTGCTGATATACAATTATTAATATCCAAACTACAATTCTGAGTACTGGTGGCAAGCACGAACTTCTTTGAAGTGTTTTCTAAATAAAGGAAGCACTGAAAATAAAATGCATACGCGAAAAAAGCTTTTTTAACAATCTGACGCACTTTCAACGAAAACAGGAGAAAGCAAAGGTTGTTTAGAAGTAACGCAAAGATAATATTTACTTTATTTTCAGGATCTGGCAAGACATAAGTCATGGGGTTCCACATCTGGCACATGGTTCTGGCCCTATGCGCTCTCATGGACTTTGCAACATATGCCCTAACTTTATCAGGTCGGTATAAATATGACAAAGATTCAAAATCATCACCATGAATACAGTGGCGGGTTATACACGGAAAAAAAGATTCTTTGCGTCATCCAATCATTTGTGATTAGATTATATATTCTTGTTGGATCTAGCGAATTTTTATTTAAGTAACCAGATACATCATCACTGCTAAGACGCAACTTGCACTAATCAAAGATATATTTTAACTGAATTGATAGTATCATATCATATGGATCAACAAAATGAATGGTTATATCTCGAACACAAATTGAATTGATCTAGAAATTATGCCGATCAGGGGCGACAAGTTTTTGTTTATTTCAATAGGCGAAATTGTTTGCTTCATTTGAAATCAAATGCCTTCAATTTTGAAGAAACGAGTAATAATTATTATGTACGAGCTGCAAAACGCCCAAACCTATGTTGTTCAGTAAGAGATCATTCAGATTCTTAAAAGTTTTGATACTTTATTATTTCTGGCAAATATTTTTACAAAACAAAATCATAAAGAAACCTAATAAAGCTCCACCATGTGAGCGCAACTTCTATACTTATTTTTATTTGTACAAATTTATAAGCATTCTACAACTAGACGTAAATCTCATTATATGCCTGTAATTTCGAGCCATTAATAAGAATTATTGTAATGAATGATCCCTACAAACATAGACAATTGACTATTCCACTCTAGGTCCATAGAATCATGCCTTTTCTCTAGAAAAGCCGATCTCACTGTGCCCAACATAAGCTTGTCAGGAGTAACCATACCTTTGAAGACATTCAATTCGATGCTTGGGATTACTATCAGCAATAACCTTCCTTGGGAAAATCATGTGAGATCAATTGCTGAAAGTGCATCCCAAAAACTTGGTTTTCTGTTTCGGGCCAGGAGCTATTCACTTCCAGTCAGCTGCTCATGATCTATAAGGTACATATCCGACCTGTCCTGGAATACTGTTCCCATATTTGGAGTGCAGCACCCAAACATACCCCGAAACTGTTGGATTCTGTCCAAAAAAGGGCAATTCGTCTCGTGTGTGATGCCTCGTTCACAAGCTCACTCACTTCTCTGGGACACCGTAGAGAAGTTGGCGATCTGGCTCTGTTTTATAGATTTTTTCATGGACGATGCTCTTCTGAAATATCAACAATTGTTCCTCCCTTGGCAGTCCACGCAAGATTAACCCGTCGAGTTGAGGCTTCGCACCCCTTCGTGGTCACTTTGGAGACCTGCAGAACATCTCTTTCCAAAGACTCGTTCATCCAACGAACAGCGAGGCTCTGGAACACATTGCCAAGGAAGGTGTTCTTCGAGGCATATAACCTCCAGAAATTCGAGAAGAACACCAGTTCCTACCTTATGTCACTTGGTTCTCACGATTTTCACTGAACATTACAGGATATCCCTTTTCGTGAGAACCAGAACATAAAAAAAATAACAGTTATATTTTGTTGTTTACTGAATTTTATCGGACTTGCTCTACCAATACAGAAGCCGAATTGACCGATGACGTGAACAACCTTCCTCGTTTTTCAGCGATAAAATTTTAGTGGAAGCCAGAATTATGGATGCAGTGTGCGCAACTCTCGCAAGCCGCTCGTTTATTGTCTCAATCATGGAATACTCATACGAATACAACTAGTGATACTATTTTTTCCTGGAAATATTCGTCGATTGACAAGCTCCAGCTTGCTGCTTTGATTCCGCTCATGACATTGTTCGCCTGCGGCTCGAAAGTTTTGATAAACACTTTCATTCAGCGAAAATATTAGACGACAAGCTGTCGGTGTGGTATTACATATGAAAAAATGAAACCCAATATTCTTGAAAATAAAATAAATTGAAATGAGGTAGAGTTACTTGATAAATGAAATGAAGGAACTTCAGGAATATAAAGAACTATATTAGATACTCTAGTGATAAAACTGACCTATTCTAATTCAATTTTCTTATTTCTGTATTGGCCCATTTACTCGCCGCCCCTGATGCCGATGTCGAATTGTCGAATCAGTGATATATATTTGGTTCATTTGATTAAAAAAATATCATTTTGATGAGGATTCATCTTTGAGGCAACATACAAGTTTCCTCATTCCAATGTGAAAATGAACTATAGTTCGAACTGATTATTTTCTTTGAATACACAATATCAATGAAACATTTTGTTGATTCAACATTACTAACATTTCTGCCACAAGATAGCGACCTATTGCCTCGTCTATACCTGCCTCTAATTCATAATTCAAATATCCTAGGCTTTCAGTATTCGGAGCAATACTCAAATCAACGGAGTATTTCACTGAATCATTATCTTGTCATTTTGAATCAATATTTCTTTCTGAACTCTCCATGGATGTTTTTGTTGAATGTGATCCATAGTTCATGATAGGAATATTTCATTCAAACTTCGAGACATAATATAATTTTTGTTCTTTTCGGTGTTAACTGTATATTTTGCTCTCAGAATATCAGTATGAAGACGAAACCTATACAACCGACAGTTTCGAGAACATAACGATACTAAGCAATAATACGTTGACTTTACAATGTCCAAAGAGGTCTGGTACGATAGATTGGAAAATACCCGGGAATAATAATGAAACAAAAGAGAAATTGGTGAGAATGAATTGATAATTTCAATCTAGAGAAATTTCATTCGACTAGATTATGTTTACAGAAAAATTCGGACACCTTAATACTGACCAATATAAGCCTTCAGAAAGCAGGGATATACGCATGTTTCTCGAATGGAAAGTTGTTAGTGAAGAAATTCAATGTCACGGTATTGGAAGCTCCACACTTCCAGAAAAAAATGCAGAGGCTTGTCGGTAAACCAGCTGGTAATATGGTTAGGCTAAACTGTAAAGCAGGAGGTTTTCCAACACCGAATATAACATGGTACAGGGATGATAAATCTCCACCAACTAGGAAACTGGGCGATATCAAGACGAATCATTGGTCACTGACTTTGGAAGACTCTGTACCAAATGACAAAGGCAACTATACCTGTGTAGTTTGCAACGTCGTTGGCTGTATCAATTTCACCTTCAATGTAGATGTTGTTGGTAAGTTAGAAACCGCAAATTGTTGATTTATTCTACAAGATATATATTTTTGATGGACAGAGCGCTTTCCAACAAAACCATACATAAAAGAGGGATATCCTATGAACTTAACAGTTCTTGTTAACACCACAGCTACATTTGAATGTCCCCAGATTTTTGCCGATTTGGAACCATTCATACAGTGGTTCAGAATAAAAGATCATCCAAACTTCACGGAAGAGGACAGTAATTTAAACTGGACACTGATAGAGGTTGAAAATTAATTCATTTTATCTGGTGGAGGTGATTTCTTGAGTATATTCTATAATAGGCAAGAACATTTTTCTTATTTTGAATGAGTCAGGCATTCGCAATAAAGAGTGCTACGGTGCTACTCTAAGTTTTGCTGACTATTAGAGGTATACTAAGAAGTCAGTCTAGATCTATTTTTCCATTAGGAATAGTAAATTCTGCTGAATTGTACGAGAAAGTGTTTAGTAATGATTATTCTGAAATTATTTATCATTCGAATGCAACATTTTGTTTGTAAACATCAAGACCAATGCCAAGACCAAGACTACATCTATTTTTCGTTGGTTCTTGGTATCGCGAAGCCCTAAAACTGCATTTCAACAGTTGTGTTCTTGCCTATCACGGAGGCAGTTTTGCATTCCATGTTTGGTAAAGGGGGTGATTAACAGTTCCAAAGGTGGTGGTTTTATGTTTATTTAATTGTCAATTTACTCATTCAAAGAATGTTTGTGGTGACGGATCATTTCCTTTCTAGAGCGGTATCACAGCAGTCCAATACTAATCACAGGACTTGATAATATGACAGTTACTTTTGGTTCCAATGTTACCATGAAATGTGAGTTCGTTTCAGACCTGCATCCTTACATATCATGGATCAAATTCCCATCTGATTCCAACTGTACAGACAAAGAATTAAGTTCATGCGAACCACTTAAGGTATTTGGAAGGATACGTCAAATATACTTTTTTCATAAAGAAGCAGTTTGGCATTTTTTCCATAAAAATTCAGTTTTCTGTCAAACCGTTCCTTTGAATAAATAATGATTTTCTCTAACATTTTTCTCCATATACTAATACTGATTACTTAATGTTTGCATGCATCTTTATCATTAGATAATCTACAATTACTCATCAGCGAGGTTGAGTTTGAGTTCATAGTGTGATGGATTGTTCATTTCAGAAAGATGAATCGTCGGACCCAAGTCCAGAAATATTCGAACTATATAATGTTACCCATGAAGATGAAGGATGGTATGCTTGCTTCGCCTCCAATAGTTTAGGCACTACAGTTTCCAAAGCATATCTACAAGTGGTCGATGAATTACCAGGTATACTTGAAATTAATTCCAATCGTTTATGATAAATCTGTTTAAGTGATGAGTTCCATTCAAGATATCCCTGTATACATGTTGTTTGCAGTAGCAGTTGAATAAAATTTATATATGCACCATGATAGTGAAGAATATCTTTTCATCGTCAACCTTGATGTATGTCGAACAACTCTTTACCAAAACTCGTGTGTAACGACAAAGCTTTAGAATTCTTTCCCGAAGGAAGTATTCCTACCTCCTCTCCCTATCCTACCTTTATAGATACCTACGCACGATGTTTTCCGAATATTATAGGGATTTTCTTTCGTGCACGCCAAGAGATAAAAAAATCGAGGTCTTATGGATTTCAAAAACTGGAATCACAATTTGATATAATCGTGGGTGAAGTTCTTTATTCAATCATCATGAATTTCCATCAATGGCAGTCAATAATTTGAAATTGAAGACCCTGGTGCAACTAGGGGATAAGTAACAATATGTAAATTCTTCAGGAGAATCAAAAATAGTAGAAACTAGTACAACAGTTGTATATAATTTTCACAGCCTTCTGCAGCCAAATAACAATGCTATTCAGCTAACAAGAAATGTGGTGCAATAATGGGATACATTTCAAACTTTTCTCCATTCAATTCATAGCAGGTGGAAAAACGGGATAAGTTACATCAAAACTATCTCCAGCAGAAAACTTCATTTAAAAAATGTGTCTTATTAAAATAGGTAGGTACCTAATCAGTCAAGTATATGAATCAAAATTCTAAAAATATTTGTTCTGAAATATAATCAAATGTGATTCAACAATGGAAATGGATATAAACTGAATCAATGCAGAGAAATTAAAATGTTTCTAAAAAAAATAGGTAATTAGTCAACTAAGAATCAAAAGTCTCAAAAATACATGTTTCTGTTCTTCATCCAAATTATCTTCAGTCGCACTAGAATTTGAAGGCCGAAATTCACTGCCTGAACTTTGAGATGGTTCATCCTCACTGACAGAACTCATAATGATATCCTATGTTCTTTCGAATGATGAGAAATACCAAAATACTTCACTACACCACACAAGCTGATGTTCACTGTCCAACGACAACAACAACGATTGATAAAATTTTGAATCACCATCAGATTTCACAAAATCTGAAAACTAGAGTATTTTGGTCAATAGTGTATAAAATGGCATTGAAGAGTAAGAAATTAAACGTAGAATAATTATTTGATACATAATCTTCTCACTTTCGAACATATAAAAAATAAAATGTTCTAGTCAAAGTCTCGGTCGAAGTCACCTCAGTCAAAGCGTAGTAACAATCAAAATAAAAAGGTACTTACATGAAGCCTGCTGCTCATTGCAGTTCATAAGTATTTATGTGATTTGCATTTTTATTCATCATCAGCATTCATAATTGAAACAATGTTCTCTCCACTGTTTGATATAAATCTTTTAGTGTTTTTTGTTTTGGTTCTTGTTGGATTTTTGATTGTTTTGAACTTTACGTTTTGTCTTGCTGTATGTCTTACAGCGACTTTCATAGGGAGGAAATGTTGTGTAGGGTGTAGGGTGTTTCTGGAGTCAATGTTTAGGTATCTACCCTTTTTACTCGAATGGACTGAACGGAGATAAAAACACACATTAATAATACAGAAACACTACCCGTTCCTTATGTGAATCGGGTGGTTGGATTTTCTCTCCTTGCCTTCTATCTAAAGGGCTCTATGGGTTTCTATGTGAAAAATGTCAAGATTTCACCTTTTGATTGAAAATAATCAGCAAATCACCAAATTAGCAAAGAAATTACCAAATCTGATGATAAATCACCAACATTGACAACATTGTGACTACGTGACCACACAATCGCGAAATTGGTGCAGGTGCGGTACGGGTTCACCAATATATAAAAAATGATACAAAATATGGTGCAATGGGCGAGTGGACTGAAATGAATTATTCAATTTCTCCACTGTGTCCTTAGGAACCTAAATTAATTTTCGCAACGTTTTCTTTATGTAGATAATAAGTCTACGCGTAGTTCAAAATCTTAACGTCATAGCCGCCATTCGACGATACATCGAATAAATGATGACGTCAGTTTTTATGCTGTTTCGTTATTGGTCAGAAAATCTTCCATTCCGACTCATCAAGCAAGGTTGTCAAGTCACCAATTAAAATCAAGATGTCAAATAGATGTTTGAGTCCTGTCGTTGAATAACACATAATAGGAGGATCTCATAGCATTATAGTTCATTCTTGACTCTTTAGAGCAACCAGCATGTCCAAATATTTCTTATTCTCCATAAGAAAATATCATGTGAATGTGGAAGACTTGTGGAACTTTGTGCTGAATGCTGAGAACTGACAAGACCACGCCCACAAGTCGTGCGCGGGGTTGTCACGTTCACCGATTCAAATGTCCTCTAGTGTGAATCAGTATAATTAGCATTTACACCAATTTATTATAAGCAAAAAGCCACAATCATTTCGAGACAATTGCATTTTTATTGCTTATTGGGAATATTATCGAAACTCAATTGAGAATTCATGAATTATTGAATAACTAATATTTCTGAAGTTCACCCGTACGTGTCCCATACTTGCACCAGCCAAAAGAACAACTTTTCAAACATAAAGAAGCAGCTACCTCACTTTTGCAGAATTATGCAATTATCCCCTTCTTGCACCAGGGTCTTCAATTCCAAAAAAATCAACATAGTTCTAGGCCTCGAAGAACCAAGGAACATTGTTATCATGATCATCAGTGTTTGTGTGGTCATTTTGTTCGTGATTTTCGTTATCGCGTTCATATGTATCCACTACAGACAAAAAATCAAAAGAGAGCAAAGAGAGAAAATGATAGCTGTCGAGACAGCCAGGGCTGCTATAGTAACCCAATGGACCAAAAAAGTGATCATCGAAAAAATACATAATGCCTCAGAAAACGTTTTGGAACCTCTGGTGAGTCCTCCTTTTTTCACTCAATTCCCCATTACCCTATATTTGTTTCTTTTTGTTTTAAGCTCATGCCAGTTGTGAAGATAGAAAAACAAAAATCACAAACGAATAATTCCGGAGACGGTATAATATCGGAATACGAACTCCCAATGGACTCTGACTGGGAGATAACTAGAGAGTTCCTAGCTCTTGGTAAAAACCTTGGAGAAGGTGCCTTTGGCAAAGTTGTCAAAGCAGAAGCTATGAACCTCATCAAATCTGGAAGCACAACTGTCGTTGCTGTTAAAATGTTGAAAGGTATCGAACTAACTGAGTGAAAACATCAATTTAGAAACGTATAAGGAACCCCTGACACGTCTTCATTATAAACTTCACAATCAACTTCACAATTACATTCTTATCAGGTTACTATCATACAAGGTCTTTCCGAATTGTATAGTGACAAAAGTATTCTTGAGCTATTAGTGAAAAACTCAATTCATACATTTCTTGAGAAATAAGAAAATTATTGTTGAAATATCTAACAGAAAACGACTACTTTCCTGGCTCATACCACAGAATATATCAGTCAAATATTGGAATTATCCTATCAAAACAAATTTCCTTCTGATGGCATTTCTGATAGTTTATATTGTAGTCACCATTCTCTAGCAATTTCGTGTTTTTAGAGGGTCATACCGATAATGAGATGATGGATTTAGTGTCAGAGATGGAGATGATGAAAATGATAGGAAAGCATATCAACATCATCAATTTGCTAGGCTGCTGTACACAGGGTGGTCCTCTGTACGTTGTCGTAGAATACGCGCCTCATGGTAACCTGAGGGATTTCCTGAGACAGCACAGGCCTTCCTCTGGATACGAGCTAGCAGTAGGAGAAAAGAAAGAGAAGAAGACGCTGACCCAGAAGGACCTAGTATCTTTTGCCTACCAAGTAGCTAGGGGGATGGAATATCTCGCGTCTAGAAGAGTGAGGATGCATTTTTTAACTTTGCCAATACAAGCAAAATTAGGACTATGGAATTTTCATTTTATAATTTTAGCTTGTAGTGGAATATAATTTGCTCTGATGGAATGAAGTTGTAGAAGAAGTTTATTGTTTCAGTGTATACATAGGGATCTGGCAGCTAGGAATGTTTTGGTCAGTGACGATTATATTTTGAAGATAGCCGATTTCGGCCTAGCCCGGGACATCCACTGCAACGACTATTATAGGAAAACAACTGATGGAAGGTACGCAATTTCATATAAACAATTTGTACACTAGAATTCATGAGACACTACCATGTCGTACCGAAAAGCAAGTCCCTGAATTTTCAAAACGAATTGTTCATAAAATAAACATCGAAATATTTTTCAATTCCTTGTTTTCTGAATGTGTATGTAATTTTATATTTCACTGACTCGATTCAACCATATTCAAAATGTCCTTTCTAGGTTACCTGTGAAATGGATGGCACCAGAAGCTTTGTTCCACAGGGTGTACACAACTCAGTCAGATGTATGGTCATATGGTATATTGTTATGGGAGATAATGACCTTAGGAGGTGAGTTGATATCCTTTCTTTCTGAGAACTCATGGATATTACTTCAATGTGGAAGTATACTTTCAATTCTCGGTAGTTGAAATTAAAATATTGGAGCATACCTGGTATTTACATTCCACGTAAATATACTTCAACATCTGGTCGTTATATTAATAATTTTTCCTTAGATGAAATTGGGGTCAATTGCTAGCTGATTATACACGTGGAAAGTTGAATATTCGTTGATTTCTCTGTACGTGAGGTATAGGGGAAGTCAATATTTTTATTTTATTTTTCGATTATAAATCACAGGAAGGAGTATTAAAAATAAACTCGGTATGATTATGATTCGAGTTCTAAGAATAAATATCGACAGGAAATCATGGCGTACGGTCCCGGATCCGTATAATATCTTGTTTCAAACAACTAAAGTTTTCGAATAGTTCCTTGCCTTTATTATTCTTCATTTTATAATATCTTCATGCAGTACAAGTTAATCGTCAATGTATCTTGTGTACTTTCAATGCTTTATATCAATCAGAATAATCAGATTCAAGAAAGTCGGGAAGAAGAATGCGAACAAATCTTACAAGCATTAGTGGCATTTCTCGTAATCTCTGAAAAGCAACCTGTCGATCATTTCCCTGATTGTTTAAATTTTTGCCACCCCTGCAAATGTTTGTTGGGGTGATAGAAATGTTCTGAGAATGTCAAAAAATACTGAGAAAAATACTGAAGCAAGCATTGCGAATGTATAATTGATGTGATTATATCAAAGAATTTGTCATACTCATCAGTGACAGTGAGAAAATATCACGCCTTAAAAATAAGGCAAATCTTCTGTTGATATTCAATCTTTCGTTTATGCACTAAAATATGTGAATCCTCAAATTATAAAAGTATTAGAAAATTTATCAGTCTGTGCCAAGCGTGTAGAAACCGTTCCAGCCCAAATAACGATTTAGTCATAGTGACAAAATGTAAGGAGATTCGCCGTGGACATAGGACAGACTATTTTGTTGATTCGATGAATCTTTTTTCTTCGTGTAGGCACCAGATCATCAAACTACCAGATGATGCGAAAACTTCAATGCCGGCTCTGATGTTCGATGGCTCGAAATTTGTTACCCTGAATAATACCTACACTGAAAAAACACACACAATTCGCAGAAATGGTTGTTGGATTTCTGTGGCATATTCGTGATGTAAAAATACTCAAGTATTGACCAATTTGGCTACACAGATCACTACCTAATCAAGTTCAATAGTAATAAGAATATTTCTGATCATCTATACAGTGTCATTCATTAAGTCGGAATCATATGGAGAAAACTTTTAATGACAATTTATTTCGAAACTCTACTTGGGCGTCAAGTTTTGCTGTAAGAAATATGAAAATGGACCGAGTCGAGGTCACGTGACTTGCTACATGTCAGAAGTAACATGTTTTCAAATTAATCTCTGAAAATAGGCTTATTTGTTTGAATTTTGAAGAAGTTTACTGAGAAAAATTATTTCTATTCCAATTTTACATATGTTTCTCGAATTCGAACGATCAATAACCATTTTCTAGTTTTCGATATTTTTTCAATTTCTACGAAATGTCTGAATTATTGAAAAAAATAACACGGACAAAACCATTTCATCCTAGTAGCTTTATCATGCTACTGACTTTCAATCAATAATTATTGACAAAAATATGATTTTCTTCAGAAAATAATAATCCCTGCTTCAAATTTTAGGTATGTTCGATGCAAAGTTGATGTATCGTCTATAATTCAAGAGCGAAATTCATTTAAATTAATTTTTTCAGTACTCAAATGATGCCAGTCATCTATTTGAATATCATCAAACTACTTTACGTATCTAACCAATGTTTAGGACAGTTTTGGCGAAGTTACAGTTAGAAAAAATCGAGAAATATCAAAAACTAAAAGTTGCAATAGAACGTTCAAATTCGAGACATATGTGTGAAATTCTTTTCCAATTTATTTTTCCAACTTTTCTCAGTAAACTTTCATGATATTCGAACGAATAACCCAATTTTCAGCGATTAATTTGAGAAGAATGTTCATTTTGACATGTATCGTGAGGCCATTTTTCATCTATTCTGAAGTGAACCTTAACGCCCAAGTCAAATTTTGAAATAAATTATCACTAGACTAGAAGTTTCTCCCATAAGGTGCCAACTTTATGAATGACGTCGACTGGTCGAAGCAGCGTTCAACACATCTTAGTTTGTAAAAGAAATTTCCCCTTATAAACATTGCGACGCCGCACATGCGCATACAATCAAATACGTAGTTTCTCAAATTTTCCAGGTACTCCTTACCCTTCTGTGCCGAGCGTGGAGAAACTATTCCAGCTTCTACGTAACGGCCACCGAATGGAGAAACCGCCATGTTGCTCCCTAGAAATCTACATGCTGATGCGTGAAACGTGGAGCTACCAGCCCAACGAACGCCCCGTATTTTCCGAACTGGTCGAAGATCTGGATAGGATCCTGACCATCACAGCGAATGAGGAATACCTCGATCTGGGCCTTCCTCAACTGGACACTCCGCCATCGAGTCAAGAGTCCAGTTGTGATGAAGACTTTGCTTTTCCTCAAATGAGCTAGTCTGCTAGTCATATTAGATTTAGACTCATATTCGCCATGTATACAGGGTGTCCTGAAATCAGCCTGTCATACTTCACCCGCGACTCTTACGACCAAAAATAGGAAGAAGAGTTGGTGGAGATGATATTTCTTGAATATTTCCGAAGATAAAATGATGCAAGCCGGTACAATATCTAGACTTTCTATGCCCAATGCAGTACAGATAACACGTACTATCCCAAAATTTCATTCAGGAGTGTATAATACAGGGTTGGACTACATTCAATATTGCTAAAATTTTTTTGTATATGCACATTTTTCGACAATTTAATTTCGGATTATGAAAATCCACATCTCTTTACAGAAAAAAAATGTTTCTTCCGTATCGATCAGATGTATCATTTTCGAGTAAAATCGATCAAAAAATATTGTAACATCTCACATATATTATACACGGCATTGCAATAAATAGTAGTCGCTATGGAAAAAAATGCACGAAAATTGAAGTAGTTTTCCATCATCATTCTCCTATTTCACGCTCCCCTATGAAATTATTTGGTGAAAAGAAGTTAGTTGATTTTCGTGTGAGATGTAACCATATTTTTAAATCGATTTCACTCGAGAATGATACGATACGATACGTATCTGATCGATATGGAATAAAAACACCCCTTTTTCTGTAAAGAGGTGTGAATTTTCATAATCCGAGATTGAATTGTCGAAAAATATGAGTACAAAAAAGTATGATAAATATTTAATGTACTCCCACCCTGTATTATACACACTTGAATGACATTTTGGAATGATTTCATTCTTACTGCATTGGGCATGGACAATATAGTTCTTGTACCCATTTGCATCATTTTATCGCATGATGTTTCCAAAAAAATATTCAAGAAATATCATCTTCATCAACCCCCGGAATTGGGGCTCCTGGTCCCTTTTAGTTTTAGGAGACATTTTTCGACTCATTTTCATTAAACTTTTCTTCCTATTTTTGTTCGTAGACGCCGCTGGTGAAGTTTGGCAGGCTAATTTCGGGACTCCCTGTTTACAGGGTGAGTCAGAATATGACCTACAAACATAGGAAGTTTGTCGGTCCTTACTTTCTTTTGAGGTGAAAAGTCAACGTACTTATGTCCTGAAATGCATTCCCTCTGGGATACGGGGGGTCGAGAGTACAAAAATATTTAAGGTTAATATTAATTTCTTCGGAAACCCTGTCATCAAAAAATGTAAGCTCGGTATTCTATCCCAGAATCATCAATGTAATCAGATGCAGTTTTCATATTTGAATTTCGTTAACCATCAGCGGCATAGTTTACGGTTGTATATGTCGCCACATTTCCTTTCATGTTTTCAAATTGAAATATGACATCAGTTATGCTCATCGAAACCTAACCTGAAAGTTATAACATTCCACAGGCTCAAATTAAAAGGTTTTTGAGATATTTGCGAGTAACTTAAGATTTGTCTTGAGGTAATATCACAGTTAAGTAGAGACCCAATTTGCTTTGTGCCTTAATCTCATCATGAAGCTCATATCTCACGAGGTATCAGAAAATTTCTCAAATCTCCTGGTAATTTTTGAATATTGGGAACATTTAAAACATAGTACGGGGTGAGTCAAAAGTAGATCGTTAAACTTACTTCTTATTCCACAAGTTATTTGGTGGTGAACAGTTTCATTTCGAGTTATGTCCCAAAGATGCAACCTGTTTAGAAAACTGGTTGTTGAATATGTAAACCAGACATATCTTGAGTTTTCCGCAAATATCCCAGAAACCTCTACATTTAGGCATGTGGAATGTCTCACACCAATTTGACATTTCATCTGTCTTAGAAAAATATGGCAGCAAACGCCACTGGTTAACAAAATTCAAACATGAAAACTCCAAGTAAGCACCTTGATATTCTGGAGGAGTGAACTGAGTTTGAGTTTTTTTCTTGCAATGGTTCCGATTTTTTTTAGTACTTTTGACCACCTGTATCTCAGAAAGGATGAATTTTAGGTTGATAGAAACTTTTCATCTCGAAATGAGGTTAGGAATCCGTATACGAAGTTTGTCGGTCTTATTCTGACTCACCCTGTATAATACTGCCACGTTAGCTGGACCGACATATTCACTAACCTATGGACCGAATACGTAAATGAATGAATGAAGATGTATGTTTATTGTTTCATGGATTCGGTCGCATGCTAGCGTTGACGTATGTATACATAGCTTTGATATAATTTTTAGAAGCTTTTTGTGATTTGGGATATGCTAGAGCAGAATGAGTATCAGTATTACGTTTACTAACAGATGATTTTGAACACAGAGTCCGTCCCTCCAACCTCAAACATTATTCACATTTTACCCGAAGAAAAAAGCAAAGTTCTCTGATTTCCAATACATGAAAAGATATGACTGGAACACGTTTATTCACACAGCAGATGGACTGAAAAATACTTCGCAGCCTATAGTTATATCCTTCTGTTTTTTTATGAGTGTGTTTTTTCCGACAATTTTTGGTTTTTGTGTGCCTGTGTGTAGAATCTCTTTTGCTAGGTGTTTATCGTAACATGAAAAGTATATTCATTTCTTGATGCAGATAAACGAGAAAATAACAGTTTGTAATAATGGGATTTCATAAAACTTTGGTATATAGATACCATCTTACTCTTTACGGTCAAATAATGGACTATGTTTTCTCATTTTTGAAACTATATGATTCAAAAAGTTACAACACTGATAGTAACTGGCCAATGGTCAGAATTGAGAAGAAACTATAGTATAGTAAACCGTGTTATGGACTAACGATTGTTTCAATATCTCGTTCTACATCAAGTTATGAAGAACATGAAGTGGTGTTTTCATAAGTAACTGAACACACCGTATTCTTCTAGAATGATCGTATACAGAGTATGGGCCGAGCACTATCCAGAAAGTATCCATATTCATGAATGTCCCTGAACTATAGAGAGTACCCTATTGTGTAGTCTAATCCACTAATTTGGCTCTCTTTGTATATAGATGTCATACCTTGTAATTATATTTATGTGATAATTTTATTTTGTGTTGGAAAGTATTAAGTGATGTATGTTCAATGAACATATAATTGACATTGGAATTCGTGAATGTAGAGTTATTAGTGAAGTCATGAGAGAACGTGATTTTTGAACACATGGATTATATTTATTACCTATTTGTAAGTATTATACCTACCCAATAGATTAGATCAGATAACAGAAAAAAAGTGACTTTGGTTGCAGCTTTACTACATAATGAACATATTATGAATGTGAAGATATATCAATCAGGTAATAAATTATTAAATTAAAATATTGATCTCTTGTACAATGATTCTGTTTAGTACAAAGAGGCATCAATACAAAGGATAAATTGACTACTTATATAACATATTATTCAAGTGTCATATTTGTGAGTAGTTTAAGGTGTGTTAATTTAAATGTTTTTGGTGGTCATAATGTTCACCCAAAGAACTCGTATATTGTCAAACAATAAAACCATTCAAAATGTTTATCAAGACTGTATATTGTAATGTTGAATATTGATTGTATTAATAAATTTTAATTAACGATTCTTCAATGGTCTCATTTCTCAGGAAGCGTTTGAAGTATGATGGATGGATGAAAAAAGTCTGCAGTTTTATAAATCTGAGAGTATTAATTTTCATTAAACTGTTACCCATATATTTTGTGTTCATCTGTAATAAGTTCTAACACGATGATCAATCAAATTTCCAGTATGTTATTTTTTCTCCATACGTCACCATTGAATGATTTGATTGAATATTTCAACAACCCTGTTGCATAATCAATTGAAGTATGTAACAGGGTGAGTCAAAATGTGTACCCAGCTTTCTGGAGTCGATAGAATCATTGAAAAATAATTATTTTTTTTTAAATTTTTATCGCTTGGAGCGCACGAATCCCTATAATGTTCAAAGAACATCGTGCGTTCCTAGGGAGGATAGGGATAGGAGGTAGGTATTGGAATTTTTTTTGAACTTCTGGAGATTATATGTTGTTGGGAATACTTCCTCAGGCAATGAATTCCAGAGCCTAGCCGTTCTATGGAGAAGTAGTTTTGATAAAGTGCTGCTCGACATCTTCCGAGGTTGATATCTAAACTAATGACACAAAATGTATATTAAGATATATCCTTCCAAAGTTCAATAAATCGAAATAATCTTTCCGCATAATTTCTGAAAGGTAAAAGCCACCAAATTGAAATTCTCTGCATAAATGTATGCTGATGAAATACATTTTTTTGATACACTTCTACAGTTCTGCTATAACCATAAAGGGTGTTTCTAGAGGGTCGGTCATGATTTTTTTGAAGACAACTCTTTTCCCTGTATTGTGTTCGGTGAAAAAACAGGAGCATTTTATAAAGCGACGAAAATTACATAAAAAAGGCACTCCTATCAAAATACGGAGAATTCTACCGTTTTCGAGATATTTGAGTTTTTGAAGTCACATGATATCAGCAGATTAATTTATCGGTGACAATATTTCAGGAGCTATGATCAATTCTGTTCTCAATTTTGACGTTTATGACATCAACATTGTTATTGTTAATTGCTTCGTTTGTTTTTTTTGCTTCGTTATATTATTACTGCGATTTTCAACTGCGATTTCAGTAAATGTCAGGTTATTCGTGATGCAGAGATGTTTCCCACTTGACGCGTTCCAATTTCTAGAACAATTTTGAGGATTGTGGAAATATTGCGTAAAAAAAATGTTTCAAAACGATAAATACAGATGGTGGCTGGCAAAGAAGTTCAAGGTCTAGTAAAATATTGTTACTGATGAATTTATCTGCTGATATAAAGTCACTATACAAAAACTCGAATATCTCGAGAACGGTTACATTTTTTGTATATTGAGTAGTATTTTGAAGAGTACCATTCTTAGGTAATTTTCTTATCTCTATCAAATGCTCCTGTTATTCCACCGAAAAGAATACAGGGACATTTTTTTTCAAAAAGTCATGACCCACCCTCTAAAAACA